ATACGAGGGGTTTTTATAAAGTTCATGGAAAGATGGAATTTAAAAAATATTAGTTTAGTTTTTAAAAAGGTTTTCCACAAATTGAAGCCCCTCAGTAGATAACAAACACTATCATTGATTGAAATAATTTACTCTGCAATGTGTCTTGCTAAGATTTGTACATGGAAAATACAGGGTAGAGTGAAGTTAAGTGCTAGTATAGGTTAAAGAATACTGTTTCAGGCTTGGGGAAGAGCCGCAAAGCAGTGTAAGTTGATAGGATGCCTCAAAACACACAGGCACCCTTGAAACACATATACAAGGCTCTACATCCCAACTGCAAGAAAGACGTGCCTCCCTGCTTATGGAAAGTTAGTCTCACATGCAGAGGGGCACTTCTACCTTGTCCGGTAGGGTTGCTATGAGACGAAATTGACTTGCTGACAGAGGGTTTTATATTCCAATTTATATATACGTTTGAGAGAAAGTTTATAAAGCAAAATTAGCTTCTTATCCAACCAGTGAAACTTTTTTGTTTTGTGTCATTAGCTGCAATTCCGTCATGACCAAGCCCCCTCCCTCCCTGGGTTCCTTGCGTCTGTGTGCTCGTCCTGCCCGCCCCATCCTGCCTTCAGAGCTGTTCTTGGGAAAACTGTGCTCTCCGGGCCTCATGCGGAACCTGTTCTGAGGAGGGGGCTCCTCCTGGGTACGTGGCTTGGTTGGCTAAAAGGTGATCCCTAGGGGTGGGTTTCAGTCCCAGGTCTGAAGTGTGTATATTATAATCTTTAATTAGACAAACTTTTAAAATCTCTGGGAAAGGCCCACTCCCTTAAACCTCTTCTCTGAATCAGGAACAGGTTGGGTTGAACACAGAATTAATTGAACAAGTACATTCATGCACGGGATGGAATCGGGTCACCTGGGACCTGCAGCTCAGCCCCAATTCGAGGACAAGAAATGCACTGTGGTGCATGGGTTTGGATTTGTGGCAGGTCTGATCCCATGGGCCTCTCACAGTGTCCCATGCCAAAGCAAACTGTCACCCCGAACCATTGCCTGGCTTTACCTGGTAGGCTTAAGGCACTGAAGTGGGTTGCACAGTAAAAAAAAAAAAAAAAAAGAAATGCACTGTGACGTTACCTGATGAACCATTAAGGACTGGACCTGTCGTTTGAGGACCTGCATTCTGGCTGTTGTGACAACTGACCGAACGTCTGGCACCACGCTCTCGCTGAGGATCTCACTGATGAGGCGGTGGTTTCTCTGGAAACGGGCGGTGGCCGTGTGCTTCATCGAAAAGCCGTCGTCATAATCTGCAACAAACAAGATGTTCTGGAAATCAGGTCAGCAATTAGCATCACGGGGTGTAACAGCGTGCACACGGAGTACCGAGGAGCCGCTGCTCCTGCTGGCCTCCTGGACACCAAGTCCTTCCATAAACTCACACTATGCCCGTTGGTCAGGACGGTACCTCCCCCCCAGTCATCCAGTGATGCTGTGTCTGAGAAGGACTTGGCTGACACACAAATGAAACAGAGCTGTGTCACTTGGCTTGTGAATGAATGCAAAGGCGTAGGCGACAGCACTAGGAATAATTTTGCCAAACGTTCTCTCGTGAAAATACCGTAAGGCCCTTAAGAAATGATGAGTAATATTGAACTCTGTGGGGCCTTTGTTACTGCAGCATTTTAATATGTAAAATTAATCTATCACTGTGGCTAGAGTATTCCTCCAGCGAGATTCTGTTTTCAACAGCGTGTGCATTCCGGCAGACTGAAAAACCCCAGCGAGGCCCCAGTTATGCTATAGGGGTGAAAAACGACGTCTGATTCCAAATTCCCTTTTTGTCAATTTATGTATGCTTCCTTACACCAAAGTTTTGCAAATGCTTTGGGGGTCTGTTTTGTGTGCCTAATTCTAATAGCTATACACTAGCTATTCATCTGTCTCTGCTTCCTGGTCGTCACAGTTTTTGACACATCTGACATTTATACTTTTTTTACATGGACTTACAACAAAAGAGCCTCTCTCTTAAGCAACAGCCACAGAGCAAGTGCTCCTCTAGGCAGCACCCTGCCGCCTCCTCCTGGTGCCCCTCCCCGAGAAGGAACCGCTGTCGGAGCCCTGGCATCACTGCGCTGCAATGCCATCGCCAGCACTTCCCAAATTATTTGGCATTTATTAAATTTCTAAATCTCTCATTATCACCACTAGAGCAGCTGTAAACTGTTGTGCAAATGATCTTGCTTCCTTTTAAGTATCTTTAGGACAGCGGTTCTCAACCTGTGGGTTGCGACCCCTGGGGAGGGGAGCGTCGAATGACCCTTTCACAGGGGTCACCTGATTCATAACAGTAGCAAAATCACAGTGATGAAGTAGCAATGAAAATCATTTTATGGTTGGGGGGGGTCACCACATGAGGAACTGTATTAAAGGGTCGCAGCATTAAGAAGGTTGAGAACCACTACTTTAAGATATATACTCATAGAATTCTATTAAGAAAACGTAAAAGAAAACGTCTTTGACCTTTTAAAAGTGCTCTCACAGCTGTAGTTGAGGTTACATAGAGTACACTCATGCTACCTCCATCTCCCCAGGGAATCTGTGTTATCCTTTGCCTTTTCCTCTCACACAGAAGCCCCAAGGCTGGTGTCTGGTAGGGAGATAGAGCAATTCGGACGTATTGTGTGGGTTTTTTCCCCTCATATTCTCGTTACCACTTACAGCTGTCTTCATGAAAGAACAGTCTCTCCCCGGGTGGGGGTGGTGGAGCGCTGTTAACAGCTGTTAGCAGCAGCTGCTGGGCTTGTGGAGCCGCTTCCTACCCTTGGTTTTCAGTGTTTCCACCTCTCAAGCCTTGCTCTTTCTCTGCAGTTCTGAGGGCAAGCCCAAGGTAGGGCATGCCAGGTATGCATGGGTGAGCATGCTCAGAGGCTCCTCCCCGAGGAGCAGGCACCCAAGCTCCCTGCAGCTGCAGCCCCTGTCTGGCTGCAGAGGCCAGGGGACAAGCTGCACAGCTGCAAACCATTCACTGCACACAGTGTGGGCCATGGGAAGGGGCTTCAGAAACTCGATGAAAATAGTCCAAATCTTTAAATTCCATTTTCCACAAACTTTCTGAAGTCCTCTCACATATGTGTAGGTGTGTAGACTGTGTCTGTGCGCCCACAAGTGGTTATGAGCGACATCTATACATTTTAGTCGGGTTTCTGAATTAACTCAAAAGGAAACTCCATAATACGTTTATTCACTCAATAACTTCCTCCCTTAAGAGTCTTAATTCGGCAAGTGTAGGGGCCCAGTAAGAAAATATGACAGTCAGAACATGTTTAGCTTTTTGAAAGCAGCTGGCACAAACTCCTGACCACGCCTTAATAATCTTTCCTGCGTTCTGAGTGTAATGATTTTTATTAACAATACCTGCCTTTTGCTATGTGTGGCACTCAAAAGGGGGACAGTCTGCTTTCTTCACATCTTCTCAAAACAGTGGATCAAGATACTCCAATGCCACGTCGTTTCTCTCTGATTTTCAACTCCAGAGCAAGAGAAACATTCCACACAAACACAAACCCAATCCCACTTTCCTCGGTTTTGCTTTTACCATCGGGGTCTTCGGCAGGCTGAATGCTCATGTAAGGCTCTCCTTTCTCCATGCGAGACTGTCTCTGTCGGCTCTCCTCCTCGAGAGCGGCTTCTGCACGGCTCTTGGCGTTGATGTACGCCAGGTACGCGGGGGAGTTATGGTAGGCCTTCATGGATTCATTGTACTCGATCTGAAATGCAAATGAGTTCCAGGTTCTTAATTTAGTATCCTGTATGCCTGTATCATTTCATACGAGTATCAAGACACACGTGATGAAAACGCGGTACGCTGTGATGGTCATCTCTCGTTACAGAGGAGGATGTGCAAAGAAACAAACTGACTCGCCAAGGCACACAGAGCCTCTGTCCGGGCTCAGCTTTCTGGTCAACTCGAGTTTCCTTTAGGGATAAGGAGCCCACATGAGGACCGCCCCGCCCCGCCCCCTACCTTTTCTGCCTCGTACTCGTTTAAATATTCTTGTTTTTCTTCATCAGTGAGATCTCGCCACATGCCACCAATAATCTTGCCGATCTCCCACAACTTTAGGTCGGGGTTGGAAGCCTTAACTTGGTCCCAGACCTTGAAAAGGAAAAGGGTGAAAGTCAATACTCATCTACACCTGCCTGCCAAGATAAATTAATTCAATAACGGACTCCCGACGCGTCTCTAGAAGTTCACAAGAATATAGAAGTGATTTTCAAATATCATAAATCATGTCAAATACATACAGAATCATTATGACCAATTATATTCACATAGTCTCAGTGGTCAAACTATCCAAATATTGCCTGGCTTTTTATAATTTTTTGCCTCCCCCGCCCCCAAAGAGTTAGGAAAATCCTAAGAGATTGCAAGAAAATAAAGATGATCAGACTTTTACTGCTCAGAGATAACCACTGTCTAGAGGCTTATTTTTATTACAAGGATGTGAAATATATATGTAAATAATTTGGCATTCCCTTTTTCACTTGCTATTTTTCTCAGACCATTTCATATTCTCTAAGACATTACTGGTGACAAAACATTCTGTTATAAGGATCCCCAGCCTCTACCCCAATTTACTTAATCATTTTTCCTGGCAGATTTAGCTTGGAATTTTGAAATCAGACCAATCTCGCTGAAAATGACAAGTCTTTCATTTCTAAGAAGCTGGACGGAGGGCAGACTCAGGACACCTGGTACCGGACAGAAAGCAACCGCAGGGACAGCAAGCTATCAGCACTCCTGTGGGTGCCTGCCACCTACCTTTCTGCTGTACCGCATGTAGGGCATCAGCGGCTTATCTGGTGGCTTGGGGGGTTTTGGAATCGTAATGCCAGAGGATGCCTACAAAAGAGTTAAACACATTCATTATTCAATTGCCAGGAATTCACCAGCCATCTGAAAAGAGTCTCTTAAAAAACTCTACTGCGCCTTTCTTGTACTCGTCCATGGACACAAAAGTCTTATATTTCCTCCACTGAAAATTCAGAAACATTCACATCAAAGGAAATGGCTGTAAACACATAGATTTTAAATGTTTTACTCAGCAGTCTATTGCCACCGCTTTGACAACCTGGCTGTAAGAATAAAACATTGCACGATAACCATACACTGAAGATAAGAGCCAACGGCTCACATCCCTGGCACCTTCAGTTCACTTCTGTACTCAAGGCTTGACTATCTGCACCGCAGTGGCTCTGCGGCGTTTGGTCTGTTGTACGTAGGGTCGCTGAGTTGGAGCTAACGCATGGCTCCCAACCCCGTTACGACCACCAGCGTCTAAACTCCTTTACCACTTTCCACATGCACTCTCTACAGGGGCTCTGCACCACTCCGGCAGCGCACCCTCACATCAACAACACACAAACTGCCTAGCTGCCTTCCAGCCCCAAACGAACAGCAAACCAACCAACCCACTGATCTAGGTGGTTTTTATCTTAGAGAAGATCAGGAAGTGCGAACTTAAAAAAGCTAGCAGATCTGGGGCTTGACGAAGAATTTTAAGTCTTATAAAAGCTGTCTCTCTTCCACCAGGATGATTTGGTATCTGCAGACTCCAGGGGAAAAATGAAAAAGACAAGATGGGGTACGTACAAGAAAGGAGAGGCAGAAGCAGGGGAGTAGGTGGCAAAAATGTGGGAGCGGGGATTAAAAAAAAGAGCAAGAAAACAGAAAGATGACAGACATGTTTAGTCCTCTGCTCTAATAACTAGCTAGACACTAGACTCCCGGTTTCTGCTAACTCCAAGTTAAGATTCTATCTACTTCTGAAAGCCTCAGACTTATCTTCACACACATGAACTTCATCGAGTAAGAAAGCGCAGGGCGGAATCACACCTATTTCCCTCGAATCCTCGGGAGAGCTCTAATATCGATTCAGCCAACGTGGCTGGGGAGAAGGGGCAGTGCTGGCTTCACTCTAATGATCCGAAGAAACGGGCCGGAGAACTCCCAGGAAAGTGCTCTGGTCCAGCTGGGAACCTTATGCTCCTGTCTGTGCCACCGCACCCTTTCTCATGCCCTCTCGGCACACTTCATCGCGGGCCCTGCAGACAGACTTGTGTCTGGCTGAGAGGGCCGCGGGGGATGGACACAGCAGTGGTACCAGCAGCCCGTGAGCACTGGGGTCTGTGTCATCCCCCGTGAGAGTTCTTGCAGAGGGAAGGGCGTCTCACAAGGCCAACCCTAGGGCAAGGACTCAGAGAGAGCTGCATAGAAAGCAGTCACTTGTATCCAGCAGTGTCAGAATATCACCATGTGGGTTTACAAGTAAATATGCAGTTGTGCCAATAGTTGAAGATGGTAGATCACTATTAGTATATATAAGTAGGGAATTTTAATTATGCATTAAAAAACTTTTTTAAAAAGCCCAAATTAAAGTAATCCTTGCTTTTTGTTTTTTTGGGAGGTAAAAAGTACATTTCCTAATGTTCATGGAAAGAAAGGTATGCAAATCACTTATCTATCATGGTCACAGTTTTATGACAGGGCGCAGCCGTGTACTCGAATCAAAACAACAGAACACCGCAGCAGTGGCGATGACCTTCCCACTGGAGGGTGGAGGCTGGCTGGTCCCGAGCCTGTCCTTGTCTCTGCTGGTCCTCCATACGAACACAAGCCCGACTCACCAACAGCTCTCCCTCTTCCCACTCCTCTGCTTCTACTTTTCATAAATTTGGAAAAACACAAAATTATGCTCGTCAAAACCATGCTTACATGAAGAGTTACGGTCCTGGGGTTTTCCCATGAATGAAGTCCATGCTTTTGTGAAATTGATCTTATCTACTCATTTTGTTATTTCCTTTCCAATTCTCAGCTTTGCAAGTCACCCCTTCCCCCACCCTGCAATGAATTTCTACTCAAGTATAGAAAAACAGGCTGTTTTTAACATTTCTTGTCTCAATCTGTTTTCACATCTTGTACTTAAGAATGCCAATCATCACTTGGATGAAGAACTGATGGGAACTGGATTTCCTATCACAGCTACGGTAACACTTGCGTCCGTGCTTGGTGTCTTACTCAGAGAAACCCAGCATTCTCTCCAACCCAGAAAGCTGCTCCACAGGACCACCCCTTTAAATCGATCCCAGTCAAGACGTGCGGGCAACTCCACAAATAGAGGGGGAAGAAACCCCGCACCGATAGTAACATAGAACAGGGGTCACCGTAAATTGTTTTCTAATGGTTAAAATTTGATTAAAAAAATGAGTCCTGGGATATGCAGGGTCGCTATGAGCTAGGACCAAGTCAACAGCACCACAGTAAAGATATAAAAAAGCACGCTTACTTTCCTGAGAGGACGATTCAAAGAGCTAGGAGGAAAGTCACCGACATACAATGTGAGGTCGGTTAAAGGACCCAGAGGCAACAGACTAAAAACCTCCCCGTGTTTCAGGCCCTCATGTTCCACGCGTAAACAGCGGGTTGAGAGTTCTTGAATGAGGTTCTGGGAGGACACCGATGCAAGGAAGCCAGAAAGAACCAGGACACCACGTCTCACATTCCGTACAGCCCTCCTGGTCCACAGAGAAGCTAGCACCCACCCCAAATGTGGGTTCCAGTGTCCCCAAGAAGGAAAAGGGGAGAAAAAGAATCGACCGAGTCCAGGACCCCAGAGCCCTTCTTTTCCGAGGACATCTCCATTGGATGACCTCACCTTTATCAACAGAAACGCCCCCGGTACATCCAAGCTAAGAACAATATGCTCACTCAAAGCCAAAACAGTATCACTGGTCCCACCATTGCTACTCTGCTAATACAGATAACCAAGAGCTGACTGTACAGAGCTATTACAATTTTCTTCTTGTTTACGGTCCATGAATAATTTTCTGCATCAATATGATGATCCAAAATAGACCTGCTCCCTTGTTAAAATCAAAACATTCCTTATCATTTGACAGCTTTGCTGCCCATGACACTTGTGAAATAGCACACCTAGGCCAGGGAAAAACATGTACCGATGCACAGAAAATTATACGCATTTTGAAATGCATAGACACACACACTGCCCGAATTCTTTTACAATGCCATGAAATGTGCATGGCACATAAAACTTGGTATGCTTACGAAGTACAACTTTAGCAGGAATTCAGACAAACAAAACCTGCCAAGCTAAGCAGTACGCTTACCAAGACAGACACCACGTTTGGGATGGTCACACTCTGCTCTAGCAGGGCTACAGGGTGAGGGGGCTTCTGTGCAGTTACAGTAATTGAAGGCACTTCTGATCCATCAATACAGCAAATGGTATGAAAAAATTCACAGCAATTCTGGGTTGCTTGCCTTCCCACCAGTATCACACTCCAATGCACGTAGCTTATTTTGCTTTAGGTTCAAAGGATATCATTCAATTTTATGCCCAGGGTTGACGTACCAGAAGGTTCAGAAATTAGATACTTTCTCCTATGGACGAGTAACACACTTCTTGTACATATCTAGCCTGGTACGTCAAACAAATTTCATCCTGAAATACTGACATAAAAATCCTTTTTGTTTTCATTGGTGAGAAATTGATCTCAGATCAACTACTAAATCCAAACCATGAATAGTGACGAGATGGAATCTTCTGGTAGGCCTGTTAAAAGCATTCTAGCCCCAAAAGAGGCAGGTCCGTAGGCTCAGCATGTATTAAGCAACTGAGTTCGTTAACCTATTGTCAATCACTTTAGATAAACGAGATAATCTTCATGTCTAAAGGGCTATTTAAAAAAGAAACCCTAGCTCTGTCTATACATAGAATAAATAAAATGCCCAAGACTTTATTCCTATCGACCACCAAACAGAGCGAATTTTTCTTTTGCTCCACATATGTATCCAGGTCGTACATATTTTCTTGCCACATAAGTTCGTACAACAAAGGTTTAAAATAGCTGAAATGCCAGATTACAGAAATTTAATGGCTGTACTTATGACTCAAAAGGACCTAACTCCGAAGCCATTTCTAGCCAACTCCAGGTGTTTGCCGGATGCCGTTAATAGTTGATTCTCCTACCGTGACCCGGCTGTTGGTGCCCGGGTTCCCTCCCAGCCTGTAGTTGTTGTAGGCGAGATGACTGTATGGATTGTATCCCACAAACCCTGGTGTGCTGGGCATTTGCTGATGGAAACAAATGAGACAAAAACACGAATGAGAAATGAGCTCAAACGAGGAAAACACAGAAATGAAAAATGATCTGCATATGGCATGCAAAAGCAACCTGAACTTAAACAAGCAATGAGGTGTTTTCATTTTTTCCTTCTTTTATTGAGAAAATTAAAATTTTCTTTCATTGAGAAATCTGTCTAGCGTTTTGTTTTTTGCGGGGGGAGGAGTGTTTGTGCGCATGTGAATGCATGTGGCTTGCACTCTGGGGCAAGCAGTACAGTGAAGTGTCTTACACGTTCAGGATTACTTTGTGATCCACAGTATGATATAACCATCCAGTGACATGATTGGAAGGCTTGAAATGGGAGAAACTGCAAGTCTGAAACACCCCACATGCAGAACAACATGACGTATTTGACAGTTCTGTAGATGCCACCAAAGTAGCCATCTACTGAAAACAAATACAAACAAGAGATGGAGCTGCTCCAAGACCGTCTTAGGTCATTTTATAAAACGTGAGAAACGAGAGACTCCAATCAGGAAGCCAGATGTTGTCAGTCAGAGTCAATGAGTGGCATGTGCATGATTGCAAAACACAGACTTGTAAGAAGAAATGCATGGCTTTCATTCTGGGGGATTAGCCTGCTGTTTCTAACCCAGTCTTTATTTGATAAGCGTTTCTCTTCCATCTCTTCTTCGATCCATCGTCCACAGGTCAATCATGAACATGTTCTGACTTTTAGACCACTTCCCAAGTGGACACACTTGAGCTTTCCTTTCCCATCTAGTCTCCTGGTCACCCTTTCACACCACAATTGCTCTGGGCAGCCGCGAGATTCTTGGGCTTTGTGAATTAAGTGTTGACATGGATACAAACGGGCTCTTACAGTACAGTGCTATGACCTCCAACGTTCATGAGAGTCAAGGCACGGTGCGTAAAAGGCATGTAGCTAAGAGAGACCAAAAGTAGAGTATTGTACCCCATGAAACACAATCCAAACAAGTGACAGCCACTTCATTTTAACATGCAATTAACAGTGCCAGTGCTGAATTGTATAATGTGACAGACGCTTAGCAACACATCCCAGCTACGCTATGGCTGTCAAGAAATTAATGCAAGGTTCTAAAACATGCTGTTGCACATATCCTCAGTGTCCAAAAGCAGGCATTCAAGCAGGTATTGCATTCAGTAGTCTTTAGGAGAAAAGACAACAGCTGACCAATGTCTAGTCTATATAGGTGTAGGAGACGCAAATTAAGCATATTTAGTATGCAGAACACAGATGAAGTACCAAAGGCACGAAAGAAATACAGGTTTCTTGTAGTGAGACATGAGTGGTAGTGGTGACGGGGGAGGGAGTAGGGTGGTGATGGTAGAATGGGAATAAAAACGGAAGGAGAGAATAACTCATTTCATAGCTATCTGTCGCACATCCTAATCCCTAGTCTTCTGGATTTTGTGTGTCAATGTGAAATTACAATGATACAATAATATGGCTAAGGGCAGGCAAAAACAAAATAAAAATCCATTTCGTTATCTACGAAGTCATAAGGGGGACACTTGGTTTTTGAGCGACTTTAATCTCAAAAAGTCAAGCTTGTTCTTAAGACATCACACACTGTGTCACGGAAGTAGTATTTACATCAAAATGACACCTTAAGAGGTTGTAATACAATTAAAAAAAAAAATCACCGTTCAACGATATGAGGGTGAGGCAATGATGCAAGAAAAGTGAGGGGACTGAAAACATCGTAAAGGAACACTGAAGCATCACAAATTGAAGCACATGGTGAGCGCTGAGGTCAGCACTGTCAACTGCTCAACTCCACCTGTAGAGTAGTCACTAGCAGGGTGCCATGGAGATGACCAGAAGAAATGTTCTGTGACTTAAGGAAGGAAACACCCACACCAAACTTTCAGATCTACTGGGAGGAAGTTTAGAGACCGTACGGACAGAAAATGAACGAGAACATATGTGAGAGTATCTCCTCCTAAGAAGCGTTCACAGGGAGGAAAACCAAGTTGCTGATAAACATCAACCAGAAACACACATCTGAGGGTTAGTAAATAAAAGACGTCATTGAGTAAAGAGATTACACAAGGGCCTACGTAGCAGAGAAAAGTACACTAGCCTGAAATTTCGGTGACAGGGGATGTGGAAGGAAGCTAGCAGCTGTCAAAGACCTGGTTTTGTCGGACATGGGCAATGTTAAGTGTTTTTTAAAAAAATCAAGGAATCCACAGCTATTGTTATCTGTTTGGTGGACTGGACTCTTATTTTACATGCTGACCAAGCTGGGCCAGAGCTTGCTGGTTCAAAATAACAACAAAGCAACATGAGTTCACAACTATTAATTAGACAATTTGAAGTAGATCCATTCCCAAACTTAAAACTAAATATTAGAGAGTAGAATGAAATCCAACGGCAAGGTATGGCCCACAGATAAAAATCTTTACTTGAACAGCTTGAAAATAAAGATCGACAGTGAGTGTTATCGTAGAACTTTATTGCTGGATTTAAAATGAACATTTATATACTGACAAAAAAGGAGATGGAAATGTAACCATTGAAGGTTGGGTTTTAATAGGTTGAAAAAAGAAAAGCCAGAATGAGCATTCACTCAATAAAAACTCGACAGCTTCTTGGAAACCACGAGAAGGAAGAGAGCAGTGTTAAACTTGTCACTTAGATTGGAACCTCAGTAGCGTGTGTGAGTGCTGGGGCTGGTTCTAGGTAAGATGCAGAGAGCAGTTTTATTTAGTCGGAAGTGGCATGTTTGGCTGACTTTCCCATATTGTTGTTGTGTTGATTGAGTGACTGTCACTGGAAGACATCTGGGTTTTTGTATCAAGGCCAGACTCGGCTATCACATTAACAAGAAAATTAAAACTTACTGTTGCAGGAGCTGGGGTGGGAGGTGGGGCATAAGATGGTCTTTCTGTTTGAAAGAAAATAAATAACTTCTTGTAAACAACTGAGATATAACACTATGCAACAAAACTACCAATGGTCCTGCTTTGAAGAAAAAAAAATGAGCGTATTTTGGAATTCCCATTTGCTAGGGCATTAGTCTCTTATTAACATAGATTGATAAGTATAAAAAATGAAACTTACTTGACATTTTGGAAGATTTAAGTTCTCAGTTCCTTAAGAATGAATCTGAGACACTAAAAAGGGGGGGGGGAAGGAAAAAAGAAAAAAAAAGAGAATCAAAACTCAGCAAGCATTCAGAGAATGTCTTCCTAAACAGGGCAGTTTAATTGGTATTTCTGAGTAAAATTAGTTCACATTAACTTATTTCTACTAGCTATTGTAGAGCACATGGCTGATCAGAGTTACATGACTGAAGAACACCATTGGGTGTATTAAACGAGGTTCTTTTAGGAGTTTTCTTATGACACTGACCCCCTCTTTTGCAGGGTAAAGCCTTTTGCTGACTCCCTGTAAACATTTAATCAGACCGATGAAAAGTTAATGGCAATAGAATGTGATATACTGTCAGGGTCCACCCCCAAGGAAGTCTACTGGGTACTGACAGCTTCCTGACTGGCTGCTCACCCTTTGCTTCTAAGGGTAACAACTTCTATGAAAATTACACAGCTTTTCACTGCTGAAGGCGGTGCAAAAGGTAACTGTTATGATAAGCATGAACATCCTCTTATCATGCCAGACAGCTTCCTAACGACTGGGACCAAAACTTGAGAGTTGACCTAGAAATTCTTAGGCATACCTTCAGTAGCTGTTTCAAAATTCATGACCCCAGTGGAGCTTTCCTGGGTAGAATGACTGTGTCCTCATCTGCATTCCTCGCCCATTTATAGAAATGTAAGATAGGGTCTCTGAGTCAGAACTGACTTGATGGCAGCGTGCTGTTAACGACTTATGATGCCGTTGACCATCTTATTTTTTACCTGCCAATGGGACTAGATTATGCGCTGCTTGGGAACAGGAGCCTTTATATTCATCGCAGTCCTACTACCTAGCTCAATTATGAATAAACTGTGCTAGCATTTAACCAGCTCACAACCTAATGCAATGCACATCACAGAGATGCCTAGAAATTCACTTTTAGAAAAAATGAGCAAATAAGTGTCTATGCCCACTGCTGCATTTTGATGCACACATTATGTGAAACAAACATGATTTTTGAGTCCTCTTTGGCAATTTAGGGGGAATTCCAGAGTACAAGGAAGAGGCCTAGTGTGGCTAGAAATCACTTCATCAATGGACCATCTTTCCTTAATAAACAGACGGAAACCAATGGGTCTGCTCTCAAATTCCTGACCCTTCAGGGAGCTGTCAACATTTGGTCAGCCCTGCGGTGCTGAGCCTAATGGCAACTGCAGCAAGCTCCCGCTACATCACGTTGGTGTTAACGATTGGCAGTTACTGACCCCCCCACCCCCACCTCGTGACACTGTAAGAGGGGGCTGGTACTGTTGTCCACACTAGAGCCATTCCTAGCGCATGGCGCTTAGCATACTCGGTGGACGCTTATGCTAACTGTACTATCTCGTTTACAATTGCTACCACTACGTTACAAGATATGCACTGTCACTTCTAGTTCTCAGATTTAAAAAAAAAAAAAAGGAGTCTGAGGGCGTCTGTGTACACTGTCCAAAAGCCACAGCAGGGAAGCACTGGAGCTGGATTTCAAACCCAGGGCACGTTTTTCCAGAGCATTTGCTAGCACTGACTCCAAGCACCCAAAGACCGCGTCGCCACCTCGAGGGCTTCCTGTGATGTGCTTTCCTTGTTTGTTTGCCTTTTCTGAGAAGGCATTTAACCGGCAACGCAACTAAAAAGGGTGCGCAGACATAGGTGCGTCAACGACGTCTGGAGGGCGACTGGAGGGGGCAAATCTGGCCGCCGCCGAGGTCCCAATGCTCACCCCGCTAGGCCTCAGGAAGGCCGCCCTCGGCCCCCGGCACTGGCTCCGCAGCCAAGCCTAGAAGCCAGTCACCCCCGGGGAGTCGGGGTCCCGTCACACGGGGCCTTCACAACTTGCCGCCCCCCAGACCGCTCGGGCCCTGCGGAAAGCACTCACCGGCGGGCCAACCGAGCGCCCGCAGCTCCAGCTCCGCTTCCCTTTGTCCCGTGCAGGCCCCGCCCCTCGCGCTCCGAGCGTCCGCACTGACACTTTCGACATTTCCTCTTAATTTATTTACAGACGTCACTTACTTTGCTTTAGAGAAATAAGGCTTCCAGCGAGGCTAGGGTCGTGCAGGGTATACTCCACGAATTTTTTAAACATCCTCTTAGTTCCTTAAAACGTCTCAAGGTTGAGTACTCTCTCTGGCAGGCGCCGATTCGCCATTACTAAAAGAGCGGAGGCGGACCCACCCCGCGATAGGCCGGGATTTCCCGGCGGGGAGGAGTCAGCGTGGAGGCGTCAGCACGTAGGCGACGCCGGGTGACGCGGCACGCTGGGTGGAGGGAAGCCGGCAAGCACGTGGTGAGAAACAGGCCGGGCTTCCAGCTGCCGGATGGAGAGATCCTGGGGGCTGGGCATCGAGGTAGGGTGGAGGGCCCGGAGCCTCTGGTGTCACTGGGGATTGAGGTAGGTGTGGCAAGGTGACGACTGCCCCAGGTGATACTGTCGGAGAGGTTGACCGATAAATGTTTGTCTACAAAATATTTGTGCAGTGTTTCAGCAGAAATGCCTGATTTTAAATAAAATTATCCCCATCGGTGAATTTGAATTGTGGTGCTGGAGAAGAATATTGACAGTACCGTAGACTGCTAAAAAGACAAACCGATTTGTCTTGGAAGAAGTGCTCCTTAGAGGCACGGATTGGGAGATTTGGGACCTGGGTTTTTAAACAGTTGGTATGGAACAGGAGCAGGGTTGGGAATGGAAAGGTAGGTAGTTTGAATCCAGCAGCCGTCATTACTTCTTCCCTCTCTGGTTCATTTCCTCTTGGAGACTGCCAAGGTTAAGAAAGGAAGAATGTAGGGATACTATAATGTAAGGAATCTGTGTTAGTCCGGGTTGACTAGAGAAACAAATCCAGAGACACTCATATATCTGCATAGGAAAGAGCTTTATATCAAAGAGCAATTATGTATTGAGAAAACATCCTAGCCCAGTCCACATCAAGTCCACAAGTCTGATATTAGCCCATATGTCCAATACTAGCCCATAAATTCCTCTTCAGACTCAAACAGCACATTCAGTGATGCTGAATGCAGGAAGATCCCAGGCCGGTGGGTGAAAGTCTTGTGGATCCAGTGGCGATGGAAGCCTCTCAGCGCTGGCGTGGGGTTTCCACATGCCTCTTCCATCTCTCTGAGTTTGGCTCCTCAAATATGGCCCCACGTGGCTTGTCAACAGCAGGGTGAAAGCAGAGAGAGAGTGTGGCCCTCCTCCAGGGAGAAAGAGGAAGCTCCCAGAATCCTCATAAGAAGGTCATGCCCACTAGGAGGCATCCTCAGGCTATGACCTGAGTACCCCTTGGAGATTTGGGACCTGAGTTTTTAAACAGTTGGTATGGAACAGGAGCAGGAATCCTGGGGCCATAGTATAGGGTGGCTAACCACAAGGTCTGCAGTTCAAACCAACCAGAAAGTTAGAGATTTATAGCCTCAGAAACCCAGAGACAGTTCTACTCTGTCCTGAAAAGTTGCTATGAGTCAAAATTGATAGACATATTGAGTTATACGGTAAAGGAGGAAAATGTTTTAAAACAGAATGGCCCTAGGATGTGGGTCTGTGATTTACAGACCTCATTGAGAGGTTAGGACAGGGCTCCACAAACGACCCCTGGGGGCCCAATCTGGGTTGCCTCCTGGTTTTGTAAACAACGTTTTATTAGAATGCCAAACCCAAACTCACCGCAAGGGGTTGATTCTGACTCATAGCGAACCCATAGGGCAGAGTAGAACTGCCCCCTTTGGTTTCTGAGGTTGTGAATGTTTACAAGAGCAGAAAGCCTTCCACAAGCAGGCTGGTGAGTCTGCGCAGCTGACCTTGCCAGTGAACCACAGCGAGCTGTATTTCTTTATGTATTGTCTTTGCCTGTTTCTGGCTAGAGAGCAGAGCTGCATAGTTGCTACAGGGACGTTGTAGTCTGTAGAACCAAAAGTAATTACAGAGAAATTTGCTAATCCCTAGTGTAGACCTAAGGGGCACTGGTGGTACAGTGGGTTAAGCATTGGATTGCTAACCAGGAGATCAACAGCTGGGACCCACCAGATGCTCTGAGAGAAGAAGACGAGGCTGTCCGCTCCTACGAAGACTGTCTCCGAAGCCTTAAGGAGCAGTCCTACTTTGTGCTTTAGCGTCATTGGGAGTGGGAATCAACTCCATGGCAGTGGGAGTCTAGACCGGAGTGCATGAAGGTCACTGGGAATAACTTATGCTAATTTGCCTATATCCCTTATTGTAGAATACGTATTCTTCCTCTGTGCTGGAAGAGTGGCAATCAATGTGTCTATATGCTGACAGTAACTATCAATATATAACCAGATTTGGCCCTGTGCACAAACTTTCCTATGGTTTCATCGGATGATTGATACTTTGAGTAATGTATATATGCATATTATTTATCCAAGATTGAATTTTGGCCCATATACCATAAAACATTTCCATTTGAAGCTTTCAAATTAACGACTTTTGACTTGAGGTCATTTCTGTACCTTAATAATGCCTTATCAAATCATTTCAGAAGTACATTATTTCAAACACCTGTGTGCTATGCAGGGTAGGAAGGACTATTTTCTTGGTGCTGCTGTAACAAAAATTCCACAGCGGTGCCTTTCGAGGACAGACAACCCATGTCCTCGAAGTCCAGGAGGCAGGCAGGCACCAACTCTGAGAGAAGACTGCTCTGGGAGGGATGTTTGTCTCTGGCCGCTTCTGTTGTTTGATTCCTTGGTGATTCTCATGTAGCATCTGCCTTCCTCTATTTGTCCTGGCATTGCTAGGCCTACCGTGCTCATTTTATATCTCAGAAATGATTGGTGTAAGACACACCCGACATTGATATGGCCTTGTTAGCATAACAAGAAGATTCCATTCTCCTATGGGATTGTAATCACAGGTACAGGGATTAGGACCGACAACATATCTATTCGGTGAACATGATCCAGTCCACAGCGCCTTTGTTTTCAGGTGTGAAAAGGGAGGCATGGGGAATTTAAAGTGAGTCCCTTCTGGTGATATGGTCAATTAGTGGCAGAACCAGAGCCAGAATCCTACAATGTTTGTCATTGCGTTTAACTCCTTAGGTTTATACTTTGTTGCGGAAGTGTGCATTGGAAATGTTTCGGAGAGAATGGAGAGCAGTGATCGCTATGCAGTTTTAAAATGACGATAAGGTGTTGTACCTTGTAGGATGGGCATAACCATTGAGAGGTAGGCCTCTGACAAGTAATGCTGAGAACAAAGTAGGCCCTTTGCAAACAGTGGCTACGCTTAATACACCCCCCCTCCCAGGATTACATGGTTATTTCCACTTTTTATTAGAATAAAATACCATTATATCATTCTTAATTTCTCTTTGGCAAAAATTTAAAAAGCATGAAATCCATTCATCTTCTATTGTGGCCCCTCCCTTCCCCAGTGAGCCAATCCCGCTGAAGCTTCCCCACGCACAGACGTCTTCCCATTGCAAAGACTGCGTCAGCATCAAATGCAATGCAGTTTTGTATTTGCAGAGTTCACCTTTCATTTATTTTTTTATTGTCGTGGTATCATTTACTTTGGTAAATTCATATCCCAATTTTAAATGCAAATAAACTTGGTTATAAATCCAAGTATTTAAAAATGTACAGGTTATACACATACCAGCTGCATAGTAGAATTACTATAACAAGCAGTTACATTCAGGTTGCCCAGGACTAAAATTTTAACACGGCACATAGGTTACACTAAATACATTGTTTTATTAGGTGTACTCTTGCTTAGTACAGTAACTTTATCACCGTTGCGTCCATGACTACATGTTTAAAGCTCTGATAAGGCTAGCAGCATGTAACCACCATGGAATGAAAACACTTGCATGTACAGAATGTATTTCAGGTCAGATGCTTGTGCAAGAATAAACATTTAGCATGCTGTTATATCCTTGATAAAACATAATCATCCCCTTTCACTAAGTAGAATAAACCAAGCTCAATGAAATATAAAGTAATTGAGGAAAAATTATAACCCTATATTATGTTAAAGATTATTTACCATCATTTTCTCCTAGTTAAAACATATTCTTTTTCCTTCGTGAAAATAAGAATTAAAAAAGAGAAGAGTGCATGAGAGAGACATCTTGTAGAGGCTTTACTGAAAATGCTGACATAGCTGTAGCCCTTAGGTGATACTTTTGCTGGAAAAAAAAGTATGGTGAGTTGTAATCAGCCATTATTTCTGCTTAGAAAAAAACGAATAGCCTATAAATTCTAATGTTTTAAAATAGGTTTTACTTTTTTAAAATGTCTTAAAATAAATATCCCTGTATTCCACAAATTCGATTGCTTTAAAAACTTTGCAACATGATGTCACTTATTCACAAATAGTTTTCTATCTATATTTATTACAGGTTGAACAATTTGAAAATGTAGATACTGCAGGTACTCTTCACTAGATAGCCATATTGTTCGTGTAAACGAGAGAAAGAAAGATCTTAATATTCATCTTAATACCTTAGCAAAGGCTTGTAGCAAGCACTCAGAATAATCCTATTTCACTTTCTAGGTGAACAAATTTAGATAGTGAGAAGTTGAGTAATTGTCTGTCCTAGTAAATATGCATTTAGCAACTTACTCTTAAATTTGCTTTTCTTGTGTTGTTTGTGTAGTTTTTGCGGTGGTGGCATGGGGAAGCAACTTTTAAAGTTTAATTTTTTTTACAACTTTTAAGGTTTTTTGATTAGAGTAACTTTTCTGGAAACCAGAAAATAATGGTAGCAAACGCTTAACCTAACTTAACTTATCAAATTAGTCTTGAGGCATGCTCAGTGGCCCGCTGAGAACTGCTCAAGGGAAAGAACTCCTGGGAAAGGCATTTTTCTACACGTACCAATGACTGTCTCCCCAAACCCCAAACACACAAACACAAAGCAAGACAAAAATAACTCTCCAAAACAGTAGCAGCGACAGAACACCTTGGTTAAGTTTGTAGTGAGGCCCTCTGAGATTTTACAGATTCTTTTAAAACATTTCAAAGTATAAAAAAACTTTTTAAGTTTAACAGTCATGGAATTATGATGACTGATTTAGCATGACTCTGATAATAATTTCATATTCAAACAAATGATTGTTTTTCTTTGAAATATTGAGTGAAATCACAAATATATAACTAACCCAACTCGTTTATAGTCTCTGATAAAATTTCAAGGGAAAGGGATTATTTGAAGAATAAATGAAATAGGAACTACATTGCATTCCTAATTTTATTTTGAAGCCTCTTACTCTCCACAAAATAGGTCTATATTTAGAGTCAGAACCTTTGTCTCTTGTTTTGTTTTGCCCTGAAAAGAACCGTTGTACACTGATCTACATACCCTTTTCCTTAAGGACGTAACAACCTACACTTGGAATGGACGGGGCCAGCATGGCTCACGTAGGTCCATCCTAATGACGTTTGCAAATCCTGTCAAATATAGTCTTTGGGTTAGTTAACTGCTGATGGAGGTTTGATAGAAGGGATACTACAGGATCTTCTCATGATAAGCCTGATTTCGATATCTGGTACATTACCCTGCTGAGTCTGTAAACATCCTTCATCGGTAGCTGCTAAGTGCAGATCAAATCGAAGAGAAACAGATTTTTTCCTTAGTGGAGGGTTATCTTTAAAAAAGGAACCTTCCCATTCTTTAATAACGTCATCAACTTTCTCTGTCCTGAAACGATAAAACAAGCCTTTCTAGGTTAGGAAGTATGGGTGTATTTATTACACACACACACGTACATATGCGTATCTAATATCTTTATAGCCAATATCAGAAGGGGCTGCAAAAAGTCTGTAGTAAAATGGAATTAGATGAGGATTTTTGTGTGGAACCTTTAAAAGCCCTCTAAAGCCCTCTCGTATATGCTATACTATGAAAAATAAATCAAGAAAATAGCATATTTTATAGTTTATGAAATTTATAATTTATATAATTAAAAATCATGAATATGCTTTCTGTGGAATTTCTATTCTATGGAACTTCTATAGAATTGTCATGAATTGTAATTTTAGGAAAAATTGTGACTTAAGGATTAAGTATTCATTCATCTGATTTTTTTATTGATAAACTGTCATCATATATGAATATATGCTGGTGGCGTGTGGTTACACATTGGGCTGCGATCCGCATGGTCGGCGGTTAGAAACCACCAGCAGCTCCGTGGGAGAAAGACTGGCCTTTCTACTCCCCAAAGCAGTTACAATCTCAGAGACCCACGGTGGGTCACTGTGAGTCAGCACTGACTCAATGGCGTGAGTTTGGCTTTCCAAAATAGGTTGTTCTGTCAGATTGAAATTCACAATACAGGTGTGTGCCACTTACCATCCGCACTGCGTTCTTTGAAGCCAGATGCTGTGTGATTTGGGCGTTGGATGAACACCATCAGGAATCGTAGGGAAGTCCACTTCCAGTGGTTTTCCGGCTGCTGCCGCCGCCGCGTTGGCAGCTAGAGCTGAGTGGGAAGTGGCTGGAAAGTAGCTCTATGCCCAGCGCCGCCCACCTGAGCACCAGTTGCTGCAGGTGCTGCAAGGATCTCAGTTGCCACAGTTGCCACCCGCCCACGGAACAAAGCTGGAGAGCCTGTGCTCAGCACCCTTTCCTCTGCCTCACCTTCCTGTATCCTACCCATGGGCCAGTGCTGCAAGGGACTGGGTTTGAGGTCTTTAAAACCGTCCAACAACAACAACAACAACAACGGCCACTCTGCCATTGCATTGATTCCAGCTCACAGAGGCCCTTTAAGGACAGGGTAGAACGAGCCTCTGTGTCGACTGTAATTCTTTACAGGAGTAGAGGGCCTCATCTTTCTCCTTTGAAGTGGTGGGTGGTTTTGAACTCCTGACCTTGTGGTTAGCAGCCCAATGCCTAACTGTTATGCCACCAGGGCTTCATGAAAGACCATTAGGGGGAAGGAATAAAACTTTCCCTTTAAAATAAAACAAGAGCCAGAACAATAGAAATCTCCTGGGACGTGTACAATCATACTTTGTTCAAATGGATGTTAGGTGACACATATGTGCATATTAAAGCTGCACGGGTGGAGGCATTTAAACAAAGGGGATTGACTCCCGGATTACTGAGCGGAGGTCAACAGATTTCCACGTGCATCTTATGAGATCTCAGTCAAAATTGTTCAACTTACTGTGTAGTGCCGTGCGCCTCGGTGCTCTCCTTCACGATGTTTCCATTTACTATCGCCTGTTTGGTTACTGTTCCCACTTTTTCATTCTCATACCTTTGTGGGAATTTTGTCGAATAAGATATTTCATTTATAATGGCTGCAAAGATGTTATTCATGAGTGGTTAAAGTACATTATCCAAGGACTGTTCACAGTAAACTTATTTTAAGCTTTATTCAAATCCTGCTTGCTTCTGCTTCTGTGTTGCTGCTGGGGGCTGGCATGTCTACTCTGATTCGGAACCCCCCACATGTGACCGAGTAGAACTGCCCCCGGGGGTTTCTTGGCTGTGAGTGCCAGGCCTTTCTCCCTCTGAACCATGGGTGACTTCAGACCTGTCCATTACCAGTGGGATGCTTCACTGCTTGTGCCACCAGGCTCCCTCGGCACTTAGGGTATTTCAGTTCATTAGCATCCCTACACATGGCACTTCACTTTTTAAGTTAGTTTACTTATATCAAAAACTTACCTGAGGGTAAAACAAAACCGACGCGGCTTGTGGAAGGTTTTTGGTCTTGTTGCTCACCTTGGATAGAACCGTAATATCTGAAAATGGAAAGGATGATAGGAGCAACATTTAGTAGCAAACAACGAAAACAACCTAACTGTCCCTCACAAGAAGAATGGAGGAATGGTAGCATATTCTAGCCATTTTCGTACAAACGCTATTTATGGAAATCCTATTTAGAGTGACAATAAATGACCTCAGCTTGTGCTGTATCTTTATGAGGGAATTCCTCTCGCACAGCAGTTCTCAACCTGTGGGTCGTGACCCCTTTGGGAGGCAATCGACCCATTCACAGGGGTTGCCCGATTCATAACAGTAGCAAAATTATAGTGATGAAGTAGCAACGAAAATAATTTTATGGTTGGGGGCCACCACCACACGTGGAACTGTATTAAAGGGTCATGGCATTAGGAAGGGTGAGAACCACTGCTCTAGCATAACATTGAGTAGAAAGAGAGCGCGAGGTAACTGCCAGCTAATTTTAGCAGAAGAATCCCATTTTCTTTTAGGAATACATACATAGTCATACGTACGTAAAGAAATCTATGAGACTAGTAAACATCAAATTCATGAGCAAGATAAAGGGAAGGGAAGGAGATAGGGTAGGCTGGTTAGGTGCCCAGGGGACTTCAACCACACTGAAAACGCTTTACTTCTTAAACTGGGGTGGGGGGTCGGGGAGTAGATACAGGAGTGTTCATTATATGCACATTTTTCTTTATATCTTCTTATACTTCTTAAATATAGCATAATAAAAATTGTACTATAGAAATATGAAAGGGCGAGTTTGTCAACACCTTAAATGATTAGCCATTAAGTAAATAAGATTTACACTCATTTTCACGCCCACCCTCCATTGGAGGAAGTGCAGCCAGAATGCTTCTTAGAAACAAGGATGGAGAGGCCTCGGATTATGTACTTTGCACAGGTTATCAGGAGAGACTAATCCCTGGCAAAGGACATCATGCGTCTCGAACTAGAGCACCAGGGAGCAAGAGGAAGACCCTCCATGGGGGTCACTGGAGTGACACAGGAGACACGAGCCTCACCACCATCCTGAGGAGGGCACAGAACTGGGCAGGGCTTCCTTCCATGGTGCACAGTGGCTATGAGTCAGAGCCAACTCCATGGCATCTAGCAACAATAGCAGTTTATTTGACAAGATGGCACCAACCCTGTGCCAAGTGAACCTTAGCTCTTCTGAGCTTCACGCTGCTGGTTAAGGTCGGTGATCGTATTATTCTCATTTACAGAGGAGAACGACTGAAGACAGGCTAAAATGACGTGCCCCAGGTCCACTCGGCTAGCAAGTGGTATATGTTCAAAGATTTGATGAATGTTAAGCGTGTCATTACAGGTTGAAATGGCGTCATCAAGTTCTGTAGAGGACGTACAGTCTGAAGCTGGCAAGAAGAATGGCTCATTTTCATGGGAACGAGGAGTCTGGGAGGTTGTGCTGTGCTCCATGCTGTATGATCTTATAAGTGATTGCAATTAGGATATTGTGTGGATTAGAAAGAATTCCTATTTGGATACCTTTATTCCGGACATCTGGAAATCCTTTAAATAATACACTCGGAAAGTATTGCTGTGCACTCTCACTCTCACTCCCTGCCACCGGGTCCATCCGACTCACAGAGACCCTCTAGGACAGGGTAGAACGGCCTGTGAGGGTTTCTGAGACTGTAACTCTCTACGGGAATAGAAAGCCTCTTCTTTCTCCCGTGGTGGTTTCGAACCGTGACCTGTGGTCAGCAGCCCAACATGTAACCCACTACGTCACCAGGGCTCCTGCTTTCCATTATGACCTGTTTTTCATATTACATATTATCATCATCATCGTCAGTTCGATGTTTGACGTACATGTAAGGGGAGGGAGACTTGGGGTCATGTGACAACATGTGAGTTTCCCGAGCTTTCGATGCGGGTGGTCCTTACAAAGCCCAGCTGCCTCCCCAAAGAGATGAATGAGAGCGTTGAGAAAGGTCATTTTCGTAGCGGTTGAGATTGGTTTGCGTTTTGCTCTAGCTCGATGTGCTCAGAGTTGCCGGGAAGGCCCTTGGTAACTAAGACGGTTTCATTCCTAACGGGCGAAGCCTTCCTTGCGGTACCTCCTTACCCTTGGCAGTGGGGAGGTACCACTGCAGGTGTACTGATAGCAATGCGGTGATGGCAGCTCTTAGGATTGGCGTTCTCTGCATCCGCGGTGGCCTGGCCACTCAGCACGAACTACAGGAACCAGGTACCTGAGCTCTTCCTTTTCCAGGAGGTGCCGGTAGGTCGCGATCTCCTGTTCCAGCCTCATCTTGGTGTTGAGGAGCAGTTCGTGCTCCTGCAGCTGTTTCTCGATGCCCCGCCTCACGTCCTGCAGCTCGCTCTCCAGGCCTTCAATCACGGCTTCCAGGTCTTGCAGCTGCAGCTGGTGATGCTGCTCACGGGCCTGCAGGGAGTTTTCAAGGCCCCTTTCCTGCGTGGTAGAAACACTGATCAGTGGGTAAGTGGGGGGTGGGGGGAGGAGGAGTGTCTGTGAAATCACGTGGGGGGCATCCTTAGTCCCCTGGATTCTCATCTTTCCCAGGAAGCTGTGATCATTGTACTTCCCTGATGTAAGAGAGGCTCTTCCAACTTTGATTCTAAGTTAAAAACATATTTTAAAAAGATACATAGCTAGAGAGTGTATAGTTTCAAAGGGATCCTCTGGCCCAAATATCCTCTGCCATGTGATTAACCTATTATCATTCTGATTGACCAGATTTCTTAAAATATTAAAAAGATAAACTTGTGCATATCAAAGCCAGAGTAGACTGACTAGAAAAAGCAGTTTAGGAAAATGCAAGGTTCTGTCTCCAGAGGCAGGCACCACAAATACTGTGGATACCAACCAACTCTTTCTCCCCTCCTACTTCAACAACTGGAGCCCCCAGGGTGATGGGCAAACCTGGCTTTACTTTTGTAGGCATGAAGCAGACCTCAGGTGGATAGATAACAGCCACCCGCTGCCACAGTGGCGTTGGAATAGTGAGCGAGGACCAGGAATGGCATTCAATGGTCTTGGCTTTCAGTCTCTCACTGGACAGGAATAGACAGTCTTCCTTGACATGCCCCCTTCCCTCGCAACCCCCTCAGTCAAATAACATCTGAGGACTCAGTGGGCCAGCTCCTTTGGAGCGCATTCTCACCACAGCATGGAGAGACTCAATTTCCACTTGCAGGTGGTACCACTGCCGTCGGGCTTCTTTGAGTTCTGCTTGAGCAGCCTTTAAAGCCTCTTCATCTTTGTCCATTTTCTTGCTTATGTCTTCTTCTATCTATAGGAGACCCAATAACAATGACAAAGGCACAGCGAGTGTTCTTTTAAAAAAAAGACATTTCAAAGCAAGTTTACAGAAAATAGTGGAGGAACTGTCTCATTGCCCCCCTTTAAGTGGTTGGCCTCCAAAGAGCATGTTCTAGTAGTCAGTGGCTCATCCATTAACTATGTGAGCAAACCATTGTCCTTTCAACGATCATAAACTCAAAACTCATCACCAGCGAGTTAGTGACGACTCATAGAAATTCTATGGGACAGAATAGACCTGCTGCTGTGAGGTTCTGAGACTCACTCGTCTGAGATGAAGGGTAGAAAGCTGCATCTTTCTCTTACAGAGCAGCCTGTGGTTTTGAGCTGCTGACCTTGAGCATTGCAGTTCGACACATACCCACTACACCACCAGGGATGGTCTATGCAATATGGAAAAAGGATATTTGAATCAATGATTAGAAATAGCTGGCAGGCTCTAAATTTGTGACTTCTGATTCTGGGATCAAGTACACAGACATGGAGCAAATACTGCCGGAAAATGCATTAGTAATAATTTAAAGAAGTTACCATAGGTATTAGAGGGGCTGCATCAGATTTCTGTATTAAGAGTACCCTCTGTTGGTTTATTTTTTTTCAAATTGGTCTTTTGAGGAGGCATGAGTATCTGGATAGTAACAAAAATTGACATTAAAAATGTTTTCTAAATGTCCGCCTGAAATGACAAGTTAAATATTTAATACTCAGTGTTAAGTAGTTCCATGCTGATGTGGGAAGTCATGGCAGAATTCTCGACATTGAACCCCACATAGGAGCAAATAGACGGAAACTTGAAGTAAGAATCACAGCCTTATTGTTTATTGGAGTAAATGAAAATCTGTGAACCAAGTTTAAGGAGGGAACCTGTTAGAGAGCAAAATTCATATTCCTTTGGTTGTGTCTCTGTTCTTAGGGATGT